TATATATATATATATATTAGCAATTAACAATTATATTGACTATAGCAATTTTACTATGTTTAATTTCAAATTCTCAATAAAATAAGCTAATTCCTTAAAATTATAAAGTAAACTCATTTGAAACTTTGACAATATTCCACATAAGCATCAAAAAAGAATATATATACATACCTACCTACCTACCTATGTACACACACACATGCCTATTTAAATATGAGAACACGTGTCTCCTATTCTTAACATTGCCATTAATTTTAAAGAAAAGACAAAAGCAAATAGTCAAGCACCAATGTGAATGGTGATGTCATGTTCCACTAACAAATTTAAAACTAAGGAAATAAGATGTATATATAGAGAGAGAAAGAGTTTTCTTCTTCCTTGCATATCTCAGCTAATCCTATTTTCCTCAAACGTAACTGCTCCAAAAGTGCCTCTCACATGCGGGAAATGAGTTGCTCACGTGTCCCCTCCGTTTGGGTGAGGAAACGTACCCAAACTGCATCCGACACAGGTACAATGCCAAAATTGTCGTGTCGGGTAGCATAGCTTGTAGACATGGAAAAATATTCGTAAAAAGAGTTCCGGAGATATGAAAATGTTTAGAGTGTGTTTGGTAACTCCAAAAAACTTGTTTTAAGTGGAACAACATTGCCAAAGACCTTATTTTTAGTGGCAAAAATCAGACTCAAATTGAACTAGTTCTTTCTAGTTTAAAATCTTGCCCATAAACTAGTTCTTTTATTAACCAACCCTTATATGGTTCAACTTTGGCCTAGTTAAAAAGAAACTAGTCTAGCCTAGTTCAATTTTGAAGTTGCCAAACACACCCTAAGAAAGATACAGTGTGTCATACACTGAACTATCCAAACTGTAACAAGGGGAATGAATGTACATAGATGTTTTTTTGGATATACCAATACTGAAAAAATCTTTTGTTCGTATTGTTGACTCATTGTTTGGACAAGGACATCAGTTATATGTTTCTCTTCTCCTTCTACAGGGCCCCTGTAAATTTTAAACACATCCAACTTGTTGATACAAATGGGGTAAATTTTACTGGAGCTCCTCAAAATATTACATGATGCAATTACACGACTCAATGCATGTATATCAGTAGGGATCCTATCGGAACCATCCGTATAGAAGTGGGGTGATCTACACCATAAATAGAGAAAATGTAATTCCCAAACTAATCCTCTAACCACCCGTGAATAGTATTGATCATCACTTTCTCGAGTGTTCTAATAGGATTCTTACTCTCTGTATATTCAAGATTTCAGGTATATATGGAAATATTAGGTGAACACTAAGGATATGGCATGACCTGATGCAGGTACGTTCAGATACATATTACATTCAGATATAAGGAAATCTAAGATGTGAGCAAAGCATCATTATGTATTTGAAAATAAGAAAAACG